TACGTTATATTTTCCCCTAGTGGAAGCCGAGTTTCCTCGTGAGTGTACAATGTGAACAATGGGTTCAGTGTATCAAATGTTACCACCGGTGTGTTTACATTGTATGCCCACGAAACAAAAATCTTCGACGAACTAAAAGTTTCGGAAATACCAATTCTATCTATATATTATATTTCGAGAATTTTTGTAACGATTCATATAAAATGTTTTCACGTGGGTTTATAAGGAATCAGGTGAAACCAGGTGCTACACATATTGACAATTTTATATCTGTTCCGGCGATCGCGACGCTCGGTCGTCGAAGTCATGGGGCGAATAACTAGCTGCTTTTTAATTGTATTCGATACACGATGTTGAAGGGGGTCGCTTGCGTGTCGAGCAACGAGACTAGTGTAAATTGTCTGTGCCGGCTTGAAGGTAGACGTGAGCATTGTTGCTGATGAGTTCTAGATAGAGGTACACGTGTGGGTAGAGAAATAGGGAACAGTAAAAAGGTAGAGTCTGTTGGAAGACAAAGATTACTGGGTAGGAAGATTTAACTGGTCTGAAGGTGTGCAGCTAATGGTGCTCGAAAAATTAACTTTGTTGGGTTAGGTGCACGGTTTAAGCTCCAAACATGACGTCTATTTGTTTGCTTCCTCGGTAAAGAAGATCCTATTGTCACGATACGATTTAAATGAACGAGATTGTTGTAATTAATGTACCATAATTTTATCAGATACGATGTTTCTGTATTGTTGTAACACTTGTTGCTTTATTGAGAATAAATTTTGAAAAGTGTATATCTATTTCGGTATGAAAACCTAACTATTCAACTACACGAAATGAAAGCAATACGCAGAAAAATCTAGTGTTTTCGTACTTGGTAACGCAACCATTTACCCAACCATGACCTATTTTAGTGTCTTCGTAGTAGGTACCTCAACCATTTTACCATTTATCCAACTCGACCTATTCTAGTTCCGTCATAGATGGTACTTCAAAGTTCAAGATGCTAAAGGTACTCAAGATCTAAAAGATATGTAAGACATTAAAAACGAGGACTTACGACGTTAAAAATAAGTTCACTCCCAAATCGATCTTTCCAATTTATAGACAAAGTATCCTAAAAACCACGCACAATATAAAATTGAAAAACAAATATTTTACGATATCACGTTCAGTAACATCTAAAGAAAAAACTTTTTGATTTTAAACTACGTAAACAACAAAATTAAGTAGAAATTTAATGTTCGAAGGATCAAGAAAATGACTAAAGCTGTTGTATAAGCTTTTTAGTTTTCTTCTGATTGGCACCTGTTCAGTTCTGACTAAGCAACACTTCATTACCATTTACACGATCCTCGAAATACACCTTTTATAGATCTGCATCTCGCGGTGAGGATTGATTAAAGGATTATCTCGCAGAAAACACGGATTTCTACGTAGGGACACGAGCTCCGTTCCGGAACTTGATCGATCCGTGATGCGCTTTCAGATATCCTATCGTGATCAAGCGCTCGATAGCGAGAACCCAAGAGAAGCTGGCCTGAAACGGGTCGATTAAATCGTAATATCTGTCTCCCGACGTGTCTACCTTGTTATTCCCCGGGGATCAATGATTCAGCTCGATACGGGCTTCTTTTTCGACGTAACAATAATTTAGCGGATTCAAAATATACTGGCCCGACTAGTTTTTTTACCCGCATATAGACCTTGGGCTACGCATCTTTTCGGATCGACGAACGATCCGTGGAGATTGGTGGAATTATTCGTTCGAATCGAAATTCTGAAGAAATAATGAAAGCCTCGAATCATGTAAAATAGAATAGTATCTTATTCATAGGTGGCCTGATGTTTAAATAAAAAAAAAGTATCGAAATAAAATATTAATGGAGTAAGAATGAATGTATTTGTTAGAGTCGACATTTTAAGAATTTGTAGTAAGTGTGTGTGAATGTGAATAATTTGATAAACTAACAAGGGAAGGCACGGAAGTGTCCCCCTCTGTCTGTTAAGTAGTGAAAAATAATGTATATGAATTTGTTGAAACCACCCCTCAAAGTTTCGATCCAAAGCTGTTTTTATTTAAAACTATACCTGGGTCTAACAAGACCAATCGAAAGTCGTGCAACTGTTTTAAAATCACAGAAACAACGTAATACAGTCAGTTGTTTAATTTTCCAAGTGCATCACGTTTCAAAATAAAAGCATCCCTCCCTTATCTAGCTCCTGTCCGGAGCGCAAAGATAATCACTGAAACAGTAAACAAACCTAGAAAGTATCACGAGCGTAGTATCCGCCGATAAAGCGTTCCACAAAGAGAAAGGTCGGTGTACGGGGGACCCGATAAGCTATCGACAGCAAACGATCGGCTGTTCGCAATCGGGTAAAAAAAATCTGAACCAGACGAACCGTTCCGTTTTCAATTACATTTCATGAGGCGTGTTTCGCCGCGTATTGCACGTCCAGTGCTTCATCGATCCAGTCCTCGTGTATCACTGTACGAACCGGACATTGACAGATGCACCAATCGACTTCATTCAGGAACAAATCAGCCAAGCACTGTGTCACACGAGACCGATACGCGACCCACGATGTTCTAGCACACACTGACGCGGTTTGTTTGGATCCAGAATGGATCCAGGACGCACGACACAGCGCCACGACGTTCGAAGTAGCGCGTCTCTACACGAGACCGATACGCGACCCACGATGTTCTAGCACACACTGACGCGGTTTGTTTGGATCCAGGACGCACGACACAGCGCCACGACGTTCGAAGTAGCGCGTCTTGACACAAACTGAACGTAAACCGACCGCCACTGATCCACCGCGCAGCGATACATGATGCCCGGAGCGACTGCCTCGCGTCTGATTGGCCGAGGCCGTTGATCTTCCTCATTGGGCGGCCACTCAGACGCACGGACGCTTCGCGGTGCAACGGGGGTCGAGGGCGCGGGTTGTTTGAAACTGTTGCGCGCGGTTTTGAATCGGTCCAGTGTTCGCGGGCAAATTTTTCAGTCGAATAATTTGTAATAATTCGCGATAATTCGTAATAATTTGTAATAATTCGTAATAATTCGTGAACGAATAACGAATGAAAAGAAACTTTAAATTGTAATCAGAACGGAATTTATTTCATTGATCAGCTTGTAATTTGAAATTTATTGGAGAAGACTATTTGTAATTTTTACTTTGCAAATAGAAAAATATTTTTTTATTTAGAATGAAATATAGGGCAAGTAATAAATAGTTTCGCTCAACACGTTAAAATATTCTCGCGGAAATACTACGCTGCCCCGTACAATACCGTTGGTACCATTCCCGTCAAAAAAAAAGAAACTACAAAAAGATCCCAATGAATACGAACTACCGTTAAGATTCGAATACCTGCCCCACGATACACGGACCACATCCACAAGTGGAGGTCTGTCGGGATGTTTACAACTGGATCAATAATAAATTCCTAACTACCCGCCTCGACGTTTCCATACTTCGTCCCATGAATCACTTATTTTTTCCGCGATAGTCCACGCGTACGCCAGCCCGAATGGTTTCAGCAAAGTGAAACCGTGTTATCTCGCGTCAATTCCAGAACTCGGCGAGAAATCATAATGGGAAACAGGCGGACGATGCTTACCATGATAATGGAATGATATATTAGCGTCCTATAGGAAAATTATTGCAACAGGTTCGGCCGGATACAGGCTCGTTAGAGGACAGAGAGACGAGCGGCTCGTAACTCCGTTAATTGTAGTTCGGTTCGATTAATTATGATTAATCATTTGCACCAATTCGCCACGCGGATAACTCTCCGTGGTTCTGTCTCGTAAAGGAGGGAGGGAAGGGCGGTGGACACAGATCCGTTTCGAGCAATTGTGTGTATCAACCGTGACGTCAGCTTAATAGGTCGGTATATAAATTACGAAATAGGCAACACGACTCGGAGGCGAACGGTAGCAGGTTGTTAATACACGTTACGCGTCTGACCACGGGTTTTATCGGCACCGGATAATCTATGGCTACATGTCTACTCACGTTTGTCGATAGCTGGCTGGTCAACGAGTGGACCTTTTCTTGGGCGTCCATTAGCTCACGACGCAGTTTCCTCAGCTCGTGTGCCTGCTTCTCCTCGGCTGAACTGTAGAGACTGCTTGCTGTCGATACCAAAGATACAGAGGAACCATGGACTGCGGACAAAAAAAGAACGGAGTTCTTGACGTTTTTTTGGCTCGTTTTTTTTTAACAGAAATTACACACAAAACAGAAAAAGAATCGTAAACACTTCGATGTTTCTTACGTTTCAATGGTTACAGAGCGTTCAAAACTAGTGGGCCCAAAGGCAAGCGACGTTATTATTAAAAGAGACAGCTATTTAGTTGATTTGGAGCTTTTTTCTCGACGTACGTGTTATTTATGAATTTTTCAATTCACCGACGTCTTTATCTAACGTACAAAACCTTAAATATTTGATAGCAAACTACATAAGAATGTTTATCAATTACCTAATTATTAACCTAGTACTAGAGAACAAGTGAAATTATACAATTAACAACAACGCCAATACGTCTCGAAAAAGAAATCGGACACAGCACAATAATAAAAATAAAAGAAACTCAGAAGTATGTTTCATTACTTTTGGACACTCTGTACGATAATGAAAAGTGAGAAATATTTCAAGATGTATTATGAATGTTAACTTACTGTCATCATCCTTGTGCACGTGTTGATACAAATTGGGAGGTTGACGGGACGTGTGCGTTGGCGTCGGTGACGTTGGCTGAGACCAGTGCTGCCCTGTACACCCGGTAGATCCCACAGGGACACTGTAATAAGGTTCAACACCCACGCCCATGCCAATTCCAATTCCAACTTCTTCGCCGACAGAGGACGATGCTCCACTTCCTCTAGCTAACATTGATGGATACATTTTTTCGCTTTTCGTGGATCTGCGAAAACAGAGATGTAACCATTTAAATCCATCGGTAGAGAACATCGGAATGGTGTATTATAAACTGCTCCGAAGATCGACAAATAGTTCCAACGGATTAAGTGTAAGTAATACCAGTCAACGATCCGCTGTCAATCGTATGGACGATGTCGATTCATTACTGTTTATAGTTACTACTATGCTAGGTCCTTAGGGCAATAATTATTCAACGAACTGTTTGTATCTTCGGAGAATAAAAAGCGCGCAACGTGCATCGATAGAAGATGTCTAACGTCCACTTTTAAAACTTGTCGCAGACTAACTCGGAACGGAACGGAACAGAACGGAACGGAACAGAATGGAACGGAACGGAACGGAACGAAATGGAACTGAACCGACGCATAAGATTTCTTCTTTCTAATTAAGTCATCATTTTGTCTTCAGTACTACTCATTTTTCCGAACAGAAAACATAACCTTGTCTCACTACTGTGGACGAAGTACGAAACTGTTAAAATTGAAACTAGAATTAAAATCGAACCAGTCTGTAGATGAAGTACAACACGACTCCGTTCTGTTCCGACAATTCGAATTCGAAACCGTTGCGTTCCGACAATTCCAATTCCAATCCGTCCCGTTCCGATAGTCACAATACCAATCCGTTCCGTTCCGACAGTTAAAATTCGAATCCGTTCCGTTCCGAGCCAATCTGCGACAAGCTTCACATTTAATCGGCCGCCGCACGGTTTGAGACACGAATACGCGAAACAGTAGCAACAAATGAAGTATGTTATTATAACAGTATCATTTCTATTATCCGCATAACACTTCCACAAAATGAATCAATAGACTAGAAGACTATTTTCTGCAATTTTGTAGATGCACTAATTTACTATAGTACTTTATTTTTTATTACGGTATTCGAAACGTACGGACCCGTTTTGGTCTTAAATTCTGCAGTTTCGACCGCGAAACAGATGCAAATATCAGAACACCACAAGATGGCGGATTTCGTGAATGTTTTCGCACACGTGACCGCGGCCGATCAGACGTTTAAAAGAGCGTTCAATGATCCACAAACTTTTGTCGAAATTGTCGATACTTTTTAAATCACCCAAGTACAGTTGTCTATAAACGATAGAGAAGCACAGTCATCGTATATCTGTTGCAGCTTGTGCGACACAATTCCATTCAGGAACGAACACTGATCAGATGGTAAACAAACGTGTTGCTCCTGATTGCAATTGTGCGCGCGCGTGTGTGCGTTCGCTCGAAATAAAAATCTTAGGATGCGAAGAAATATCGGCGTGTTTCGTGCCCCCATCCCTGTTTAAAGGGTTCGTTAGATTCATTCATCACGTTGGACGTTCATGGGCGTAGCCAGACTCGCCCCCTTTGAACAAAAAAAAGTGGCTTTTCTGTTGCACGCTACAAAAAAAATTTGGATTTTGCACCCCCTCCCTTCCCAGAGTTACAAAAGGGTATAGCAGGATAAGGGGGTCAAAAGTGTCCTTAGAACGATTTGGATTCAACCCTTTATCTCGACCAGGAGGGTAGTAAGAAAGAAAATTCGGATTACTGGTTTTTAAAGAAACTAAAAACCCTAGTTGCACAGAATTTTTTTTAATATAAAAAAAAGATATAAGAATAAAATATTGAACTGTATGACTATGAGTAACTTCAACTTTTCGAGGTGGGTTAAAATATATCCCACCATGCATAAAAAGGTAAGCAAAAGGTGGGACAGTTTTTAACCCACCTAACCCTAAAGAGTTAAACAGGGAAAATAAAAGAAAAACCAATAATCCGAATTCTCTATTACTATCCCTGGTTGAGACAGAGGGTTGAAACTTCGCACAGACTGTTTTTTTTTAACAAGCTATCAAATGGTATATTACAAGTCCAAATCGGTCTAAGGGCACTTCTGCCTGTTATACCCTTTTTGCGCAATATTTAATATTGCAGTATAATTTGAAACACGACGAACAGCCTCTATTAATAGAACGCATACATTTTCGAGGATTCGTGACTTTAAAAACAAAATAAAATGTCTCTGGCTACGTACGGCCTTTTTCACTGCGGCAGTCGATGTGCTAATATTTTTGCCACCCACCCCCGACTGATAACCTGGCTACGCCCATGTGCACGTTCCACACGGACAAGTGGTTCTTCGCATCCGAGCGTTCGGTTTGTTTAGGACATCGACGAGAACCAAGTCTATCTACCTGGCGAGTGTATACGTAATTAGTCGATCTGAAGGAGGCTTCTAATTAGAAGATGAATGCCTCCTCCGAATAAGAGTCGAGGGTCGATTCTCCTATCGCGTATACACTCGTGCAGTTCCGTGAGAGCGCGGCGAAAGGAAACGAGTCGAATGAACGAACAACAATTGTATAATAGTTTCCGGTGAAACTGCAATCGCGAATTACTATTTGGAACTGTAATCGTGTTACCGAAAATTGAATAGTCACGAAAGTACCCTCGTCATAGACCTGGGAAGCTGTTTCATTGATTTGATCTTGACTGCCCGTTGCGTTCAAGATTTCGAACGAATGTTTTCGACTCGGAAGTAGTCTTTTGTTGGATGTGAAATTTTAATTAAAAATAGTAAAAAAGGAAATTTTAAACTGATGCTACGGAAGTGTATGTATACAGGGTGTTTCATTTAACTTCACCGCATATAAAGGGTTTAAGGACGGAAGTCTTCAATTTAATGTACAATATCCTTGAATTTTGTTATTTAACATGAACATAGATCACGTCAGCGATATTAATACATAGATTTGTTCGTATCTTCTATCTAGTTACATGTGTATAGATATAAATATTTCATTATATAATTTTTATGTCAATCAAGATAAATGAAACACGCTGTAGATTCGGAAATTAGACCCTTGTGTATGACAAGGGTGAAAGAAATACCGAAACAACAGAAAAAAAAGATCAATGAACACGTAAATTAGGGTAATTTTTAGTGACAAGGGATATTAAATGAAAGGTTTAATACACAAATACCATATATGGTATGTGCAAGATATTATTTAAAAAAAAATTGAAAAATTATTTCTTGGATACGTGCGAAATTTCGTGCTGAATGTTTAAACATGCTACATACGAAGGAGTAGACTGGTAAATGTTCCACCATTTAATTCTTCGCATGGATAAGTACTTTCGTGACCACTTGGTACATCCAAAAACTAAACTTCATACATCACGCGAATCAAAAGCGTTTCCTTTCGTCGCGTCCAAGAAGATTCGTAAAGAAGCTCTAAAACATGCGTTTGCACAAGAAGCATGGACGAATCACAAATACAATATACTGTATATATATACTAAGAAAGTTGAAATTCGATTTACTGTAACTGACAACTATACTGCTATGGAGTCAAACGAGAAACGTGTAGAACTCGATATATACATATATACATATGCATGTATAATAGATACAGATGGGCATATGTGTGTATAAAGTGCGTATAACGATCACTCGTGTGTACATTTAGGGTATAACACCCTAGATGATTCGTTTCTTTCAATACTTATGCATGGAAAACAGGCTCGACGAATGTGTATTCTAGATTTTCGCACTACCTTGGGAATGTCCTGTCCCGCAGATGGCTAGAACGGTATCAAATGATCTGCGTTATTTCACCGTGAAACGAGCGATTGCTGTCGTAGAGTGGGTTATAAATATACAGAATCATGAATGGAAAAAAGCTGATCAGTTTTGAAACAATATATGGTGAGACGTTTGCATCCTCTAAGTCATGCATCTATACATATAGACGTATGCAAATGACTTCTAAGGATGTCGTAAGAGGTCGTGGTAACTAATGCATGGAAAATGATCGTTTTGCACGATGGGCTTACCTGATGGAATTGCTTCTGTTCAATCGCGGCGGAGCCGGGGAGCCTGTAGAGTCCCTTTGATGCATCAATAGACGAGCGTGGGTTAAGCTGGCACGATGAGATCCCAATGACTCCACGCTGTCCGCCTCGCACAGGCCCATTCCTGGGTTTACAGAAAAGTTACCAAGTCAGACCATTGTCATCAATAGACTGCGGAGTTTTATGCAGTATAAAAGTCTCTAAAGTACAATTTATGAAGACAGGAGCAAATGTACAAATTTATTTTCCCTCTTAAGCATCTTATACGGTTCAGTAGAAAATAGAAAACTAGTTAGATCCGATGAAAGTTTGGTTTTATATTGTATTTCACACAGCCCTATAGGTTATACATGCAGAAAACCCACAGTCTAGTCATCATAAACATAGAAAACGATTCTTTTGAATGTTCCACAGAAGAATTTCTATCATAGACGTACAATCGGACTGGAAAATATTTTTAACCGTATCACCTGAATCAAAATATTTCAGTCGATTTATTAAGTGAGACATGAAAACATATCTCAAATGTTCCAAGGCGAAATCTAAAATTATTTTGATTATGAAAACGAAATACAAGAATTACTGAAAAACATTGCTTGGATCATCGAATACAGATCACTCTATATAACAGAGTTTATGACCATTAAACGTGGATTAACTTAAATATAAAGGTCAATTGAGAGTTCCAGTGGAAGAGGAAGGTATGCCACAACAGTAGCGTTGTGAGATATTAAAGCTTTTATGAAAAGTAGTGTAGATCAAGGTATACTACGACTGTATACATACACAATCATAGTACAGGCAGGAATCTTGCCACATAGTAATAAATTAAAGGATAATAACTAGTTCACAAGAGGTGCCAGAGTGCATACAAATCTCATTCTTCAACAATTTCTAGCACATCTCCCCCTACACTGGACCCCTCAATTGGTCTCATTAGTAGCAACTTTGGGGGGATGTACCTTGAGAACGTCCACTCGGTGTATAAGTGTTGCTGTGCCTCATCCAGGATGTAGTGTACGGACTGTTGGGTGTATAATATCCCTGAAGATCAGGGGCTGCATAATTGCTACAGGTGTCGCTGAGACTTCCGTCAGACGGTTTCAGAACTCGCGGCGAAAATGAACCGCCGGTTGGACCAGCGCCGGATCCTCTTTCCCGATGATGGGCGGACGCGAACAACGCCGTGAATTCCGGGCTGCCTGGCTTCGGCAGGCTCTGTGAACCGAGCATAAGACGGTCCCGTACCGATTGGGAAAGTTGACTGGCGCTCGGACCCGTGAGACTGTAACTCTTATAATGATGCCCTTGACTCGACGTGGAAGAGTTCGCCTGGAGTTCCGTGGTGCACGTCTGCGTGCCACCAGACACTTTAACCTGCAATATCAAATTGAGATGGATAGAAAACTTTTGTTCGACAACATTTGCCAGCGGTAATTAACCTTTATGCTGCTGGGTGATCCCATTTGGGACAATGATAAAATTTGAAATTCAGCGCAGCGTATATGTTATACAGGGTGTTCCGCTGAAAACAGGGCCACCTAAATATCTTTATCTGCGATCGTATGAGAAATATTTTTTACGTAACGTAAATGGTTTCAAGTACGAAGCGAATTCTCTTCGATAAATAACAGAGGGCAATATGAAACAAAATTTGTGATTGTGTTCACTTGTGTACAACACATAGGAGATTTCTTTTAGGTTACAAGAAAATACAGAATATTATAGAAATGATCCGATGAATATCTTAGTTAATTATACGAAAGGATGGAATAACGAGCTCAAGAAGGAAAATGAAAGAGCAATTACCTTTGTTCTCGGAACGGCGCTAACTTGAGCCGTTCTCGTAGTATCCTTGCCGCCATTTTGGACTCCGTTAGGACTGGGACTGGTGCCAGCGCTGTGTCTCTTAACGTATCCAAAACTCTGCGGTACTCCACGAACTTTGTTGCTTCCGCTGGTCGACGTTCCCGACGATACTTTCTGAGGTTTCTCGCCGTTCGCATATTCGGCCATGGCCTGTTTCCGGTGTTTATCCTAAGTAAAATCACGAAGTACTGGTTATAAATTCCTAACCGGCATAGTAATCAACAATTACAATTTTCTAAGTACACGGAAATACAACACACTCAGTTTGACGAGTAACTGAACGAGTTCATAGAATAAAACAGAAAACAAAAATGTAATTTACGGTAATATCAAACAATCAGAAGAACTCTACAGTAAATCCTCGATAAGTGTTCGAAGGCTCCTCGGCAAGGATAGGTCCCTATGTATATTGTTTATAACATCTTTCCTTCAGCCGCATACGACCATTAATTTACGAAATATTTAATCTTCAGTTACCGAGTAGCCTTCGAACACTCATCGAGGATTTACTGTAATCAGATATGATCAGAGTCACAAGTCAATCGAGAGATTATCAACGAAGAAATACAGTACTGCAATCGAGGAATAAACCTACTAGAATCGTACAAATCAAAATGAATTATCAAACATTCAAACGGTACCAATATTTACACAAGGATAGTAAAACGATCAAAACACCAAGAAGACAAGAATCGAGACGATGTTTGCGCAGGGAAAGAAATTCAAAATTTCTGTTTGGGAAACCGAATCTTCCATTTCGAAAATCAATATTGTCCGAGCATGGGGACCAGTCACGACGGGGAGAAAGCTACAGATACAACAAATGTTTACCTGGGATCGCCTGGAGGGACTAGGACTCGGGGGCGCGCCCTCCTTGTCTCTCTCCCGGTCCCTCGCAGCTCCGGCCTCGATGTATTTTTTCCATTGCTGGCTGTTTGAACTGCTGTTCGCGGGGCTGTTAGAGCCCTGTTGCTGTTGCTGCTGCTGCTGGTGTTGCTGGTGTTTGAACGCCGAGTTCTCGGTCTGCTGCGAGCTGTCAGACTTTTTCACGTGCGGATGATGGCCGCCCGGATGCCTCGAGCTCACCACGCGGTACACCAGGTTGCTGCCCTGTTGTGCACCTTGGGGGGTGGCCGAACTACCGCCACCCCCCACAATCACGCCGCCACCACCCGGCACTCTCTGTTTTTTTTTTTTTCAAGACAAACAACGAGAAATTGTGTTTCGTTAAAATTTTCGAGTAACATTCGCAAAGATACAGTAAATCCTCGATGAGTGTTCGTAGGCTCTTTGACACTGACAAGAAGTCGCTAAGTGTAACGCTGACTTTTTAATGAGGCGCAGTGATAGAGCTTGGAATTCTGATGTTAATGATATTTCTTTCAGATGCATGTGGCCATTAGTTTATGAAATATTTTATTGCCAGTTCTGGGGACCGTTCGAACAATCATCGAGGATTTAGTGTAGACTGAGCTACTAACGGATTATAGACAGTAGCTCATGTGCTTATCAATAATTACTGTAAAGTGGTTTATAATATCAAAGCTAGGTGCGTATGACGTCATCGAACTATACAGAGTGTCCTAAAATAGGTGTAAATCCTTGAAAGAGGTGATTCCTGAGGTACTTCGAAACAACGTTTTCCTTAATGAAAAAATTCTCTGAGGCTTTGTTAACGAGATGTTAACGAAAAACCCTGACCAAGGATATCGTTTTTCGTTAATACAATTGTAAATATAAATAAATTGTACATTTACTTCTATTGATTTTCTAACCTAGTTACGGAGAGAATTTACAGTGCTACCATTAGGTTCGTGCACAAGTTTTTCACCTGACATTCTGTGTGCACGAAAAGGAAACGATATTTTTCAGCCCCGATTTGTTTATTATACCGTCTGCAAACGGTAATAGGATAAGAGCTGTAAACAATAGCACGACCTGGGTCAAGGACTTCCGGCAGAGCCCGATTTCGCTATTATCGATTCCCGTGCCTCGAGGTTCGCAGAAGTCAGAACCCCTGATGGTGTATGACTCAGAGAACAGACGCCAAGCCGGCGGCCGTTCGAAGGGGCACGCAGAATCTGTGCTGGTTGTGTTCGCACGTAAACCTCGACTCTTTGAAACGGGCAACTCGCATTTCGATTGAATATTTTCCATTCGAAATATAGTAAATACATGTTACGCCATTCAGAACAAACGTTGCGCATTAATGGAAAATTTCATTTGACAAATACAGTGAATCTTCGACTAATGCTCAACACTCACGACCGCTTTGGTACAGTTATCGTATGAGAACACAATGTTGCACCTCTTAAAGGTGGAAACAATCGATAAAGATTGAAAACCTGCGTATGGGTGAGACAACAACAATGTAAAAACGAGTAATTTTCACTTTCAATTCCTTGTTAATGAAAATTTAAAAAATTTTATGTTGGCGTATTACATTACTCCACTGATTGGTTCAAAGGACAATCCCCCAGTAGTGTGGATCACGAAGAAGCATTTAACGTAGAGACCTCTCCGAGCGCTAATCGAAACTTCACTGTATTTCGGAACATTGCACCGTATACCAGCTCTGGAAACCTTCTCGTGCGTTAAACACTACAATATTGCGGCGGAATAAAGGCTGCACACCGTCCAGAAAGTGGTCTGTTTCTCAATTTCCCCAATTCCAGTTCCCCTGTTCGCGACGTTAAACTTGTACGACGTGACTCATGGGGGTAGAAACGGCCCTTCAGGTTTTTACTGTTCGGATCGTAAACGTACGGTGAAAAGGCCATAAGCCAGACAAAAGGTCCCCGCGGGTCAAGCGCGAGTTTTTCTCTCTGGTTGCACTGTTCCGAAAGCGTAGTTTCACGGGAATCGGGGGAACGCCCCGTAGTCGTCGCGTAAATCCCGGTGCTTGCGCCTCGGAACCATAGGGGAGAGAGGAACACGATCGAGAAACAACAAACGTCGTATCCCGGCGACTTCTTTGCTTTGAGGCGACACACCACTACCGCGAAAATTTAAATAAACCAGGCCCTCCTTCCGAGTACGGGACGCACGGTGTGTCGGCCTTTTATTCTTTCCGGCTGGTTTATTATCCGAAATACTGACGCGGATACATCCCTTCGTTTTTCTCTCTCTCTCTCTCTCTCTCTCTCTCTCTCTCTCTCTCTCTCTTTCTCGATGGAATAAATATTATCGTTGGACGAGCCAGAAATTGTTCTGGATATACAGTCGATGTAAAAAGTATTCGTGCACCTTTTAAAACGGAACAACTTTTTTAAAATTACTAATATTAATAAAAATTTATAAGATCAATTCAGAAATATACCTCTGGTAAGATATTTATACAGGGTGTTCCACGTATGGCTTTGTTACGGCAAAACATTAGCAAACTCTAACATAATATCATCCCTTAAAATATTGAAACTCCTTAAGAACATAAAAAAATGAAATAAAATATTCTACAATTCTTCAGTGTCAATTTTCACTCTCTATCTTTCTCAGGCATAATATTAGTCATATACCCAGAGTCAAACTTAACATGTATTACAAAATTATCAGGTCATATCCCATAAGTAAAGCGAATTATCTTCTTTCTTTACAGAAAGTGAAATACAAAATTGTAATTAAACGTATAAATCGTCTATATGTCTATATTCCTCAGTTTCTCAGAATAGCAAGTTTCAGTTTCCCTTCCAAAAATATCAAAGAAAGTTCACATTACCGATGGGATAAGCCGATACGTGCTCAGAAATCGAATACTACATTTTCCTTTATCTCCAATGACTCAATACAAAGCATCGGTATGATATTTCATATTCGAAACGTAAACGACAGTCGAAAACTTCTCGTGGAACACTCACCATATTTCAACTTAATATCCCCAAAAATCACACCGTGCTCGTCTCGACGTTTCCCTAAACGAATGATCGAATCGCAACAAAACCACCACACGCGCATCTGTCACCCAGTGTACCGTTTCACTACACGAATTATGCCATTTGTTATCCGTTATCGTTTTCCACGAATCACTTCACCATCGAATTCACCGTAATCCCCGTCGTCGATTATACTTCCGTTCGCCTCGTCGGACGATCCGTTGCTCGTTCACGTCGTCCCCGCGACATTTAATTTCCACGATGGTTTAATTGGCGCGAGTAAGTGCTCCTACGATCGTCGAAAACACAACGGAGAAAGAGTTCACCGTGTGTGCACACACACATACAGTAAAAACCAGCGTATCCGAACTCCATTTATTTCATCGAAATTTTAACGAGTGTTTTTTTTAATTTTCCTGGTTTTAACGTATTTTTTTTTATTTGAAATAAATAATTCAGGTCGGAAAGGGTTAATAATAAGTATCGAATGAATCGGTCCAGTTCTTTTTTTTTGCGAAAAAGGAAGAGTATGTAAAGATATATAAAGGTTTACGAGGGGAATTTTATTGTACTAATCTAAGAGCAGAGTTAGGCACAATTTTATTCGAATAATATAGTGAAAACCATCCAGTATCCGAGAGTGTTATCTAAAGTTTTAAACAGTTAATATGATTGATAATATTGTTTGCCAAATGTCTACTTATTCGAGAAGAAGTATCACATATGTCATTATAAAAATTGTAATTTCCACGTTCAGTCGATTAAAAATTACGAAGTACTCTTTTTATCTTTCATTCGTTATTCCAAACTCTTTAGGTAATGAATTTCCTCATTCCTTTGTCTGGTAGACTATGTGAAATATGGACCAGATATAGAATATACAATGAGAAATGTCACTGAAAAATTCTGTCAGTAATTTCAAATAGTTAAATAATTCTTCCCCGTCTTACTCATTCATTTTATATATTTTTAATGTTCATTAAATTATCAGAAGCACTACGGTATGAAAAATTGAGATCCATCGATTCGATAGCCAAAATACTAATAATTGAAGGCTTTAAAGGATGATGGTATCCTATTACAAATATTAAGTTTATAATAAATTGAATTTAAAAGTTACTCTTCCTGCAACTGCCTCTATAATATGTATACGTCCTTAATCATCCCCTTTCTAAAGTTCAATAAGGTACTATATAAAAAACCACCACTTATATCTCTAAGAAAATTCATCGTCCTCTGAATCCTTCAATTCACTACGGTCCTATAAACACGATCGATCAAATACTTTTTCCAAAACATATCAACAAGATTACACTCATTTACAAAACACCATAAATATTCCCTATTGCTCGCCTAACATCAACAATCCACACAAAAGAATAAAACAGCAGTGTATCAACGCCAGACCACCTCCCTATTCCTAACATTTACTATTCAATTACGAAAAGAATAGATCTTTCCAAACTGTCAATAATTCACATCAATCGCACCGATTCGATCGACCGAAAATATACTTTTGTTCCAAGGGTAGTAACCAGCCGCGAGATCACTCAGTAGCCACTACAAGACACCATAAATATTCCTTACGAGAGTCGAATATCCAACCCCAAAGGAAGACTGGGGAGGAATTGCTTTTCACGAGATTAGATGACGCCCTGGTAAGGGTTTCTTCTGTGTGTGTATGTGCACGCCACTTTTTCAACGTTGGGGGAGGGAAAGGAGAGACCACCGTCGCGGTTTCGCCGTGAAAACGCAGTTTCTACCCCGAGGAAATTAAAGGAAGGCCCTCCATCAACGACACCACCATCGCCACAGCACACGGCGCGTCGTCATCGACATATCCCAGCACCACCACCTTCGGCAAACGTCACGTTTTCACGAGCCGGACGAACGTTAACTGCCGACTGGCGAGGGTCGACGATCCATTGCTCGCTCACCGGGCCCTCCCCACTTTATACATCACGATATACCCGCTTACTAACGCCTGGTTACCGAATACTCCGCCGCTCGTAACACGCCATCGTCGAAAAAATACATAACGTACAGGACGGGAACGTTAACGGATCAACGATTGCACGGATTCGAGCACGGCAGACCTGGGAACTTCTGAAATGATATTATTTGAAATATTATGGGAAACAATATTTTTAACAAATGACATGTTACTTGAAATGACATGTCATTTTATTTCAGAATTATTTCCATGTCTGTGATCATGTCTGAAATAATATTATTTGAAATATTATTTTAAATAACATGTCATTTTATTTCAGAATCATTTCCATGTCTGTGATCATGTCTGAAATAATATTATTTGAAATATTATTTTAAATAACATGTCATTTTATTTCAGAATTATTTCCATGTCTGTGATCATGTCTGAAATAATATTATTTGAAATATTATTTGAAATAACATGTCATTTTATTTCAGAATCATTTTCATGTCTGTGATCATGTCTGAAATTATATTATTTGAAATATTATTTTAAGTAACATGTCATTTTATTTCAGAATTATTTCCATTCCTGCGATCATGTCTGAAATAATATTATTTGAAATAACATGTCATCTTATTTCAGAATCATTTCCATGTCTGTGATCATGTCTGTGATCATGTCTGAAATAATATTATTTGAAATATTATTTCAAATAACATGTCCTTTTATTTCAGAATTATTTCCATGCCTGTGATCATGTCTGAAATTATATTATTTGAAAAATTATTTTAAGTAACATGTCATTTTATTTCAGAATCATTTCCATGTCTGTGATCATGTCTGAAATTATATTATTTGAAATATTATTTTAAGTAACATGTCATTTTATTTCAAAATCATTTCCATGTCTGTGATCATGTCTGAAATAATATTATTTGAAATATTCTTTTAAGTAACATGTCATTTTATTTCAGAATTATTTCCATGTCTGTGATCATGTCTGAAATTATATTATTTCAAATAACATGTC